TATTGACATCCAAAATATTCAGATAATTCTCATGAAAGCCCTTGGTTTGGAAAAGCCTTGAGAGTTTTCAAGTTTCTCAACTTGCTTAAAGTCTATAGGCGCATTCAAATGAAAGGGCCTGATTGAAGGGCATGCCAGGGAAGTGATGTCAGAAATGGGCAACCTATTAGCTAAACAACCAGTTCAACTCGCACTTTGGTTGCTTAACCAGTAGTTCACCCAACTCTGATGTAATTTCTCAGGCATACCTACTCCATAATGTTTGTTATACTATAGTTACTTTTGAGATAACATCACCATCCTAAACTCCAACAGTTACTTGGTCTTTGATTATCTTTATGAAAAACATTTTAGCTATAATCAAATTAATTAATTCATTACAGCACATATCTTCACCATACTGAGGAGTCGTCAAAGGGAAAAGCACTTGTGGTCCTTAAGAAATTAAATATTTAAGAATGGGCTTAAATAAAGTCCATAAATCTATCATTAATTTTCAATCAAGAAGATTTACAATAGTCAATCTTGATTTCCTGCCTATTATATGATTTGATAAAACCATATTTTTCTTGCAGTTTTTCTGATTTACTTTTAGATGTTTCTATTAGTTCAAAGTTCCTGGTTAGATGTAAAAGAAATTTACTTCTTAGTTTGATTAGAAGGTTGTAGCACACCATGATGTCAGAAGATCTAAATTGCATCAAAATGTTAAAAGTTTTAAAGATAAAAAGACTGACTGCATTATTTAATTTTTTCTGCCTCTGAATGTTCAGTAAAGATGATGTTTATTCTACAATCAAAGCATATCTAAATTTTAGAATTGACTGAAACCTATACTGGGAAGTATTGCATTTTTGTCTTAAGCTGACTGCCTTAAAATGAGGTGATGTGGTTTAGAAGTTAATACATAGTGATTTTAAGGCTATATTTTTTACTGGAATAGCTTTAACCTTGAAGAGGAGAACTTGTTTTTTGTTTATGAAATAACATGTTCAAGGTACAGTTGCCAACATGAGGTTTTATCATAAGTATATAGTTTTCCTGTATTTTTTTTTTTTTTCTGTTTGATGCATAAAATTGGCCATACCATTTCACAATTTCACTTAAGGTACTATGTATTTATTGTTCTTTTTTATTGATCTGAATTCAGTTTCTGATTTATAGAAAACGTCAGAGTATTAGAAGCTAAAATGTAAACTTCAACAGGGTTCATCCATTCAGGTAATATCAAATGTATAATGAGCACCCAGTTTCCACGTGACTTAATATTTAACTTTACGTAAGAGGCTGCTTAGGAACTAGGTCAATAGTCGCGTTTGTAATTGGCAGAAAACTTATGAAGTATGTGATGCTTATAATATAAGTGGATTGATGTACAAGATCTTTGTGTCTGGGTTTGGTATCATATGAAAAAAAATATCTTGCATTCCATCATTGATCGTCTGAAAGAAGAACGAAAATTTCCCCTTTGCTTTACGTCTGTTTTATAATTTGATAGTAAGAATGTGTGTGTGTGTGTGTGTGTGTGTGTGTGTGTGTGTGTGTGTGTGTGTGTGTGTGTGTGTGTGTGTGTGTGTGTGTGTGTGTGTGTGTGTGTGTGTGTGTGTGTTGTGTGTGTGTGTGTGTGTGTGTGTATGTGTGAGTGTGTGTGTGGTGTGTGTTGTGTGTTGTGGTGTGTGTGGTGTGTGTGTGTGTGTGTGTGTGTGTGTGTGTGTGTGTGTGTGTGTGTGTGTGTGTGTGTGGTGTGTGTGTGTGTGTGTGTGTGTGTGTGTGTGTGTGTGTGTGTGTGTGTGTGTGTGTGTGTGGTGTGTGTGTGTTGTATGCTTGAGGTGTGTGTGTGTGTGTGTGTGTGTGTGTGTGTGTGTGTGTGTGTGTGTGTGTGTGTGTGTGTGTGTGTGTGTGATGAGAGAGAGAGTAAATGAGTGAGAGCAGTGAGTGCTAGAGAGAGCAAGAGCGAGAGCCTGTGAGTGAGTGTGTGTTGAGTGTGTTTGTGTATGTGTGCTGGTGTGTGAGTGTGTTGGTGTGGGCATGCATGCGTGTGCAACTGCGTGTGTAGATATGTATGAGAGAGGAGAGGAGAGGAGAGTAAAAGAGTTAGAGTGCGAGAAAGTGAGCGAGAGGAGACTGAGACTGAATGTATGCGTGTGTGCGTGCTCAACCATGTGTGTAATATTCGACAATCGTTTTTTTCTGTATAAGAATATACAGAACGGGCTTGACCTCTCTCAGAAAAAGAAAAAATCTTTATACATCCCTAACCCATACAAACTAATATAGGCGCAGTATGAACACATTTTGCCTTGATCATCTTTGCTCAATGTTGTATGCCGTGTTACTGGAAGGGACCCAGCAGTAAAGTAGCTACTAGTAAAATAATGAATTTTTAAAATGCAACATAAGCAGACCACTACAGTACTTTTAAGGCTTCTTCGTGAAAAGCTTTTTAAAGATTAATTTTTCAGCTATTTAGTTTTAACAAGCTTGTGTGTTGTCGAGTGAT